GACTGTTCTACTGCACTGGGACTGTAGCTCCTATTGTAACAGGAATGTATCCTAACATCACGGTAGCGTCATGTGCGTTCTCGTCCCCCGCAGAAAAACAATACGGGCTTACGAGTCCCAGAATAGAGCGACAAGCGGGGGAGGGTGGAAAGAGACGCCTGTCTTAAAATAAGAAAGCTATCCTGTCGCGGACAGTGGGCCGGCCCCTGCCTCACCTCCTCCGCGTGGCGCCCCAGCGACATGCCCCTCGCCGCCAGCCCCTGACGCAGTTCCTGCACGTCGATCCTCCCGTCCTTGTTCAGGTCCAGCTGCTCGAACAGCTCGATCCATATCTTCTCCCGCTCCGGGTCGGAACCGTTGCTGTAGTCCTGGCAGCGGGCCCGCCACCGCCGGGCCCGAACCCCCGAGTCGCCCATGGGGCCGGGAGGAACCGAGCCAGCTGTCACAGCTGCCCCGCTGCCGCGACCCGGTCAGGTGGGGGCTGGGGCGTGTTCCGAGCTACCCCGAGCTGTCGCGGAAACGGCCGAGCGGGGAAGCTGTTCCGAGAGTCCCGGTTCGCTACTTCAGTACCGGAGATCACCGGCAGAACCGGGGTTGAATCCGGCTGATTCCTACGCCGGCGGGAGAAGACGGAAGAGCGGAGAAAGAGGCGGAATCCTCGGCGTCTTCGGGGAGGCGCTGGACTCGCAGCCCGACTCGCATCGCCGCCGAGCCCCTAACCCGCCGGGGCCGGAACCGTAGCGCCGCCGCAGGCTCTGTCCCGGCTCTAAACCCGGCTCTGTCCCGGCCGTGAGCGCCGGTGAAAGTGCGCCTGAAGGCTTTTTCCTGCTAACCGCGCTGCACAGTGCGACACAGCCCGAGAAAGACGCACTCCGCTCCCGCCTGCCTCGGTTTTCCTGCCCGGCCAAAATTCCTGTGGGTTCACCTCCCTCTCGGTGCCTTTCTCGATTACGTCCCGGAAAATAAATAGCCGAAGGTGAAACCTTGATATCCCCTCTCTCTCTCTCCTGCTCTCTCAAGGTTTCAAGGCGTCAGCTTCGAGAAGTGAAATTGAGGAAGAGAGCGGCTCCACTGTGCTCTCTAGTGTGCCGGAGTGTGCTGAGCCCCGGGCAGCTGTGCGGCAGTTCGGTGTTTATATCAGGCTCCGTAATACGCTGGAATACTAGGCTCTACTGCAGGATACTGTAATGTCCCACGGTGTACTGTACTGTAGTGAGCTATACTGTAAGATACTGTAATTTCCCACAGTG